ATTAGTTTAATCACTGAATTAAAAGTAGTTTAATCACTGAATTAAAAGTAGTTTAAATACTGAATTAAAATTAGTTTAAATACTGAATTAAAATTAGTTTAAAAATTGAATTAAAATTAGTTTTAATACTGAATTAAAATTAGTTTAATCACTGAATTAAAATTAGTTTAATCACTGAATTAAAAGTAGTTTAATCACTGAATTAAAATTAGTTTAAATACTGAATTAAAATTAGTTTAATCACTGAATTAAAAGTAGTTTAATCACTGAATTAAAATTAGTTTAAATACTGAATTAAAATTAGTTTAATCACTGAATTAAAATTAGTTTAAATACTGAATTAAAATTAGTTTAAATACTGAATTAAAATTAGTTTAAATACTGAATAAAAATTAGTTTAAATACTGAATTAAAATTAGTTTAAATACTGAATTAAAATTAGTTTAAATACTGACTTGAAATTAGTTTAAAAACTGAAATAAAATTAGTTTAACGACTGAATTAAAAAATGTTTAAATTCTGAATTAATTTTTTAAAAATACTGACTTAAAAGTTGTTTAAATACTGACTTAAAAGTTGTTTATATACTGAATTAAAAGTTGTTTAAATACTGAATTAAAAATGTTTAAATACTGAATTAAAATTTGTTTAAATACTGAATTAAAATTAGTTTAAATACTGAATTAAAATTAGTTTAAATACTGAATTAAAATTAGTTTAAATACTGAATTAAAAGTTGTTTAAATACTGAATTAAAAGTTGTTTAAACACTGAATTATAAGTTGGAAGTAGCTGAGAGTCATTTCCAACACATACTTTGAGCACAAACGGATCCCATGAAATCTTTGTTTATCATTTATTTCTCAAACTGTTGGAATCAACCCTGCCTGTTTGTTAGCAAAATATTTTGTGCTTCACTAAATGGCTTTAATGAAGCACATTAACAACACAGGGAAATCAAAACAAACAAACAAACATACATTTCATAATTGAGCTGGAGTAAAAGTATTTTTTTCTTTCTTTTTCTTTAAATATTAACTTTACAAATGATTCTCACCAAAAATAGTTTGTGTGTGAATTCAAGGACACACATGTCAAACTGTGCATGTTAGTGTGGACAAAGCCTCCTCCGTGCTTTAGCAGGATTTTTATGCACAACTTGTGCTGCTGCTTGAATCAGTCAACTTGAATTAAAAACAATCCAGGAGCATTGATGCACGATAATTACAGATTAAACACCTTAAAGGTGGGGCCCTCTCTGCTCGCTGCTGCACGAGACAAGTTGTAGTTCATGTCATGAGGGTGATGTGCGGCGCTGAGTCTGGATTCACGCTGTCGAACTGAAAGAAATGTACTTATCGATTCCTCCAGCGTAACACAGGAAGCTAACTAATTAGTGTTTTTAGCGTGGGCGCTAATGGAAAAGGGATTGTGGCCTCAGGGTGCTGAAACACTCCCAGGACTCAAAGAAGCAGTTCATATAATGGAAACATCAGGCAGTGCACACACACACACACACACATGCACATTGAGTTTTAACAAATGAAAAAGTTGTTTAGAATGGGATACCAACACACACACACACACACACACACAGTTGGGCATCAATATTTGACAAAGCTCGACTCTGCTTCAGCACATTCTCAAACACCCACACGTAAACACAGATACCAGGAGAAGCTGTTCATGCACCAAAACATCAGTCTCACATCCACCCACTCAAAATCCATCACACCGACACACAAACAGGAAAACGCTGTGAGTGGAGCCGTTAATGCAACAATCAGCACATGCACACACACACACACACACACACACACACACGCACAGCGAGGAGCATCAACCAGCGGCAGAACGAGAGTGGAATCCATCAGACACTGCAGGCGGTTTCTAAAACAGACTAGACTTAATGTGGAACTTTAAACTCAGATGTAATTAACTTTCTGAAAACAGATTATTAGAAACTGTAACATCTTCATGTTATGCAGCTCACACGGTTTACACGTGCACACATGTGGCAGAGGCCATCTTGGATTTTGATGTGGCAGCCCAATATGGAATCTTTCTTAACTAGATGTGTGTGTGTGTGTGTGTGTGTGTGTGTGTGTGTGTGTGTGTGTG